CTATGGCTACGTTTACACCATACGCTTAGTCCGCGGCCTATACAATAGATGTCCTTGTTCATCCTGTAGGTTAAACAAAGGTTACGTTTACACCGTGCATTTAGGCCGCGGCCTATATAATAGATGTCCTTGTTTATCCTGTACTGCGCTTGGCTTAGCGCGGAGACACTACCGTGTCTCCAGATATTAAACAAAGACTTTGTAAAACTATCGTTTAGGTCGCGAACTAAGCGCACGGTGTAAACGTAGCCTATCAAGCGTATTGGAGTAAGAGCTATGGTAGGAGCATATTGGAACACGTTGGAGCATGCGACGCGAACAAACCTTCAGTCGCGCTGTCTCGCTCGCGCCGAAAGCTGCCGCCGAATGCAAGAAGAATGTATTTCGCTGTCGAGCCGAACGCAGCATGCTCGGACCCAAATATACATCACTGGGTCATATCTCGCAAGTCATGCCTCTTTTTTTCGAATATACAATCGAGAGAGTCGAAAGAACATCAACATGTTTTGACGAAGCGACTGCGCAAACAAGAGGTCGTGTTTTCTGTGAAGAAGGACGGATTCTTCACGTAAGAAATTTAATTAATATTATGAAATTTTCAATCGGACACTCGTAAATGCTAAATTACGCTCATAAGTGTGGGATCGTTCGAAAAAAATCTCATGCGAGTTCTCTTCGTGCTTCGGAAAAACGCTACATACAAAATGGATTCGTTTCCAAATTTCGTGCTTCTTTTATACACGTCGCAGATTTTAAGAGGCCAATTCGTGGAGGAAGAGACAGGTATAAACGTGGGCGGAGTACGCATACGCGTGCATCTGCGTGATGACTAACAGATGTGATAGAACGTAGTTTCGAAGACTTTGTACTTTTGAGGCAGCTGCATCAAGTTTACAACGACACCTCGAGTTCATAGACTGAATGGATAAATTTAGCTTATGAGAAAATATATGCGCATTAAAAAATTTTTGTCAACTCTGACACTGAATGATATAGTACCATTTTGTGTGCGAGCGTGCTCGAATGCGTGTTGCATTTTGTGTGTCGATATAAAATAAAACAAATGACGATATAATCCTTTTTTGTTCAAATTAAAAGTTATCGAGAGCAAAAATCATTTCAAAGAATCTACGTAGTGATTTAATGTAAATATTGATTCGCTGAAAATATACGATAATTGTTTGCGGAAAAATTGAATCCGAGTTAACGGATACTTTTGTTCTAAATAATTGATACGGTGGTGATGGAACATCCTGTGTACCGAGAAAGATACGTTAATCATATAATGCATCTTTATGTAACGAATATTTTGTCGACGCATCGCTAAGAGTTTTTATTTAATCATTATCCCTAATTAAAATGATTCATTCAGATACAAGATATTGAATTTTTTATTATAAAACATATCATAAACTTGACTATTTAAAGAAAATAACTTCAAAGCGTTATAAAATAGAACATATATACAATTAGAAAATTATCTGTAACATTTTCTTACACAATAATAATTTTTTTGCTAAATATTCTTAAAAAGCTTTAAGATAATTATTTGTAAATATAACAAATATAAGCACGTTGTACTCTTTAATTTCTGACTCGGCTCATAAACTCGGTCTCAACACACCCATTAAAGTCGATAATACTGTATATTTGCGCACGCGTTATAATAAAAGCGAGAGTATCTGTCTCTCACGAAACTCTGTGGATGTGTTGCTTGAGAGAAATAAATAAACCGCTTCTATATCTAATTTTGCAGCTTTCGTCCCTTCGCGATCCCATATCGTACACTCGTGAATTCCCCGTCGTGCATTCTTCGCTATGTAATAGGCTTAAAATACGATGCAAATGGAGCCAAGAGGCTCGTGGTTCGTACATAAAGTATATTCTAAGCCGCGCGACACTTATATAACCACAGCTAGAACTTCCGCGCAGATTGCGTTGTCTCAAGCAAAAATATCTCACCTTTCCTAGTAGTCTGTCTACAGTTATATTATAAACACAATAAGATACACTTTAATGTAAGTTGTCTTGATAAACATGTCGATAAGCGTAAGTAAAAAGTGTACGTTGATGAAATTCAGCCACCATCCTTGAGAACATTACGCTTTCCAATGAACAATCGCGTGTTTTGAATCTAACTGAGCAAAACTGATGAGAATTATCTTTAAAAACATATACATATACTGAGATAAAATAGCATAAATTTAAATAAATATTTATTTAAATACTGCCAATTAAATTTACTTATAATAAATAAATATTTACTTAATAAAAAGAAGTGATCGTTAAATCAAATTAATATTTTTTGTACCAAATAAATATATTTTTATATTTAATAAGTATTTAGTTGGTACTATTCATGTAAACATTTATTGAAATTTAGGATATTTTTTTCTCAGGGTACATTTATTTGTGTAAATATTTATAATTTCTATTTTTAAATGCATAAATAATACATATTTAAAGCTGTATATGCGCGCGCTGCTATGTGTATCACTGTATGTTGGCTGAGTCATCGAATAAATGCTGTCACTTTTAAGCACATTGACGAAATATTTTATTGATTACTCCGCACAAAAGACTGCTTCCGCAGCTGCCGTAAAAACTTATTTACAAGAAATGTAAATGCGTTATTTATCATCGAACAGACTATTGCGTGCGAGTGTCTGCTATCCCCAATCAACGTTTTTTTTTTACTCCGAGACATGATCTACCATGTCAACTACAAATGCTAATATACACAGTGATACCGGGACATGTATAAGTAGAAGCGTGTGCTATGTACCCAGGAGGAAAAAAAGAGTATAGTCGCATCACGTCGCAACATTCTCTTATTTTCAAAGCATCCGTTCGCCATCGTGCGTCTTTGTATGGTATAAGACACAGTGTAGGAAGGTCATAATGATCTCATATCTTTATTCATAAACATCCCACAGGCATAACGAGCAACCAGGACAAAAGTATCGCGCGTATTTCTGATATCATTCAGTATACTAGGCGCTACATTGTTAAAAAGTATTGTTTTCACAGAATTTTATAGAACTGTAAATTTTATAAAAAGTCTTGATGTTGAAGGGACAAAAATATATATGATATTTCACGTCAATTTAATCGTTAAAGAGCACTTTTCGATTTAATTCTAACTCGTTGATAAATTTATAAAGAGACCATAGAAATAACTTCTATTAAATCGTAAGCTTATATAATAAGAAGCTTAAGTTAAAGCTAAAGCTTATATGAGTAAAAACTTATATATCCTCTACAATAATATTTCCTCCTGCTTATGGAGTAATATAATATTACTCCATAAGCAGGTCCAATAGTTTCGCAAAACAATAGCCGGACGTTTTAAAGCGAAATTTTCCAATAAGAATAAAAATTTTATATGTATTAATACGAATAAATAAAATGTCTCCATTCTGGAACTATTTCAATAGAAAGTACAGTTATTTTAAAATGTCTACAACCGGGTAATTTCGCATCGTTTTAAGATTAGCTAATTCTAAACATTAGAGCAATCGTTATTACTTCACGTAGCTGCGTCTGTAAAAATCTTTCGAAATCTGTCACTTACTAAAGTCCTGTCTGCAAGACTGCAATCGAGATTATTGAGATGCTTCGGAATAATTGGCGCAATCGATTTTTATCACTATGTATCAAAAATAAAACACATTTGTCAGCGAGAATATTTGCGAAACGCGTCTTTATTATTGTACCATGATTTTGAATTTTAATTATGACTTAATAGACCTATTATTATTTCACAAAACTTTTTATTTTTATCCTTAATTCACACACAAGATCATAATTAACATATACATATAATTATTCTCTTTAATTCTATAATATTAATCCGTCGAATAAAGAAAATATTTTATGAATTAATCTTTGGATATTTCGACGCCATTTCAAGAATTTCGTATAATCGTTGATTTTTCTAGATAATAATAGAGCTGATAATCTTTGAGTACAAAAAGCGCAATTGAGACCGTGATAATGTTTGTTTCGAGATAACTAGCACGACTACTACGTGACGTCAATTTTTATGTCTGTCGCTACTTATCTTAATAGAGTCTGTACTTCCGTAATCAAAGAGAAGCCGGCGAAGAGTTTTTAAGTCTCGTATCGTAATTACGATGGCAACGTTACTCAAGAAATCGTGAATGCATTCCGTATAAAAATGTAAATTGATTATTATTCTCAATAAATCTCGTTGGGCTCAGCATATGGTAAACCTCGCACGATTCGGATATTCCGGAGATACGAGGCTAGTTTTCACAGCAGGTATACTAGCAGACCCAAGTCTGTCTTGGCTCCGAGTTGAATCTTTGAAAAACGCGTATTTTCGAATTCTGTTCCCAAAGACCAGAACTCTACCCAAACAGACCATCTCGCACGGATAGGATACCTTACTATTACCTTTACAAGCTTCTCCTTTACAACGCACCCCTCCTCCATTTTCCTCTTCCCTCGTTTTACACGCACGTTCCTGACCATCACTGTGATGTCGGACTTTGTCCGTGGACTTTCTTTCTTAAAATACAATTCGCCGCGTATGACTCGTGTATGAACGAGAATTAGCACTCCGCTTTCAGAAATTCGATGGAAACAACAGAGACTTATACAATATTCTTGATATATTTCTAAAAGTTCCCCTTTTAAAAAAACTTTATAATAACAGAAGAGAGAATATTATAAAATATAAATGAAGTAATTTTTTTTATATATTATAATAAAATCATAGTACTAAAAAGAGAAAATGAGAAATGCATTTTAGGCGCACTATTTATAGAAACTATATTACCGAAAGAACAGAAACTCTCGAAATCTTTCGGTCCACTTCTTTAATGGCTTCGAAAATATTTGCCGGATGATTTTTATCGGACGATCCTTTACCATTTCTGCCGCATTAGTGAAATATTTTACCTTCACACGGTTTAAAAGCCGTCGAGATCGACGACTCCAGTTTATGTGCACAAGAGAAGAAAAACGAGACTTACCTATGCAGCTGTACGGGAGTGGACCTCGCAGGTACGTGCTGGTTATGCGAGGTTGGTGGTTGAGGCTGACCTCTGCCAGGGTTCGACGTCGCGAGCGAGTGGCCGTGGGACCCATGGGGGTGACCGTGGGGGTGGGAGTGTGGGTGCGGAGGAAGGGCGTGCGGGTGTGGATGATGATGGTGATGCAGATCTCCCCCCACTGGGCCCACAGGGCCCACCGGACCCCCCACCCCCAGTCCACTCACTACCTGAACTTGCTTGCCCACTGTCTCCATCACCCCTAGCGCATTGTGAACTGAAACAGATATATAGATCGTTCTATAGAAATAAAATACTTCCATCGAAGTGCAGGATTTTTCAACGCGATCGAAACGCGACGAATAAGGAGAAATATTTGTAAAATTTAAAAGTAAAATAAAAATCACACAAGAATTCGGAAAATAAAATTACGTAAAATTAAAACAAATTTAAATTGCACAATGTCACAATTTTGATACATCGACATTTCGATTGTCACTCGAAAAAAAAAAATAAACAAAGAAAAAGACAGTTCGAAGAAATTTCGTGCAGGTGTTGCAAATTTCGAAAACTATTTAAATCAGTTCAATCGTAACGGAGTTTGCCTTTAGAGTCCGTCGGTAGACCATTACGATCCCTGTGACCATTAATAGCGGATCAATTATGGCGATACACACGTCATTCGATATCGCTCAATTATCATCGACGTAGTTTTTCATATGTCCACTTAGCGTTGAATAGATTGAATGCATCAATAGCGACCAGTCATGACATTGCGGAAATGTACGCGGTCTGTTTATCGTGCCTTTCCTTTCGCAATGGCGAGGTATATCAATCGCAGGTAGAAATTAAAAGCAACACGAATGCGAGAAACGCGCATCGTGCAGTATGCAATTACAGTTACATTGAAAACGGGAAGTAGATCGAATTTCTTGCCGATTCACCTCGAGTCTTTGTAACGGCACAAAATACGCGTCTATTAACTCTTTACAAGAAGAATTGAGGATAATTTAGACAAGACATTCGAGATGCAGAGTTACATTACTATATAAAAGAATATGATTCCTTTTTCAAAATCAAAACAGAAACGTAAAATTATGATCACTGCAAATTACGTCACTGTATAATTAAAAGTTTGACAGAATGAATTAGTTTAAATTTAACTAACACACGCATAGACGCACTTCTGACTCTCTTCAGTTCTTAAAATTCTCAAACAGCTCAGCTTGAAGTGCTTTTGCAGGCATCGAGACATCCTGTATAATGTATATGTCAGCATGAATTGCACATTTATAGAAATTCTTTACTTCTCACATGGCTGGCATAAATGAACTTAGAGGCACACGGTAATACATATATTCATGTCGGATGGCTGGGGAGATGGTGGACGAATAAGTGCTGCATACGGATACGGCAAAATAAAATACGAATATGTACAGGTTCCGCGCAATGCATAAATTTATACGTGGCTATATGTCTCCGTCAAAATATATCGAAAAATATTCTGTAACGTAAGACAATGCTTCTCAAATTCTTGCAGGACGCGTACTATCAAATAAATTTCTCTGTCGTCAACTAAATTTAAATTTGCAAATTTTTAATATTTAAGATGATTGATAACTAAAATCTTTCCGACAATAGAATTTATCAATAATACACTGATTCGTTTTTATGAATATTTAATATAAACAAAATGTAGTACGAATTTATAGACGTGCTAGAAACAGATCTATACGAAGCTAAATATTTTAAACCGTTCAAAGAAGAGAGAAGGTCTATACATTAGTCATAGCAATAATGTTTAATTAATTTATTATGACACACATATGTATTTTAAAATTGCTTCATTAGATTTAAAGTGCTGTATCGCTTGAGAAATAAAAATGGACCGTGATTAATTTTAAAACTATCACATTTTGTGAAATATAAGTAACTGAAGTTAAAAAAACGTCAATATCTTAATAATTTTAAATGGAATTTTTTAGAAATATGCGAGAGAAGCGACACAAAAAGAAAATATCAAACATTTTATTGATTTAGTTTACAGAAAATTTTAAAAAAGTAGCTAAGCTAAAGATAATTGACCCCATGAATTTTTGATACTACTAATTTTGATCGTATTTGCAAGAACTTTAAGGATGTTTTATACATATATTTTCAAAACGATAATAAAATTATGAAAAAATTACAGATTATTCTAAATCACGTTTAAAAATAATACGACAAATTTGGTGACGGTTTAGTAAATTATTATATCTGAATTACAAGTTATTTTAATAAATAGTAGTATTTTTTAAATCTATGCTCTCTAATAAAAATATATGAAAATGTATTATAAAATAAATGATAAAAATTTAAATTTTTTAATATAAGTACATCATGTATTCAAGATTATTTACGTAGAGTTATATTGCGATGCATGAACTAGTTGTCCAGTAAATAAACAAAATATTTATTTGTTCTATATCTTTTTAATTAATTAGTGAATCTTTGAAACTTTGCATAAATTATTTTGAATATTTGAAGTATAATACTTATAAAAGAAAAATTTAAATTTTTTAATCATTTTTCAATTTTCTCTTTTAACAATAAAAATAATAACAAATAAATTACAAAAATGTGTTATTAAACAAAAATATAATCTTATTCATACAACTTTCATATGTACATAGTTTATTTGAAGTATAAATATTAAACATACTTCCAAATTTAATTTTTTTTGCAGGGACTCTACGTCTAATACATCCTTAAAATATACAAACTGCAGTTTCGCTTACAGATAAATATATAATTTATATTAATTATGCACACACATATATTGGCATATTTTTTGCATGTAAATAATGATACAAAATATATTTCGTGCTATTAATAAAGGTTCATTCTGAAATATAATTTATTTAGTTCATTTTCAGACAAATATTAAGATATTAGATGATGTCATAAAATAAAAGAGAAATTTTTCAAAATATATACAAAATTGAAAATTAATTGAATATGAACATACTACAAAAAAATGCTCAAATTATCAACAATATCTATTAATTTTATATTCTTTAGTTAAAATATCAAATAACATCTCAATAGCTAAAGTATAAAAAATAATTTATAATTCATGAAAAATTTATGAAAAAATAGATTTATATCTCACGTACATATGTATGCCATCCATTTGGATTATTGATTTATTAAAATAATATAAAATATTTCTACATTAATGCATTGTTTTAATTTAAAAGGTTCCTTTCTCTCTCTCTCTCTCTTCTTTAATTTCCCGACAACGGTAATTTCAAATCCAAAACAGGTATCGACACGCAATTAAGATTAATGAGAGTACGAAGGAAGAATATAGCACCGGCATCATTCTCTAGAAAGCGGTATAGAGTCATGGACTTTACAACGTTATAGACCGTTGGTGGTGTGCCGTCTGCATATTCTACACCAGACAGCAAGCCGTCGTCACGCGAGCCCACCGCAATTCCGTAAAGAAAGGAAAAGTTCAGGACGCGCGATGTGCAATAGACGTCGGCGCTCACAGGCGCATTATAACGGCACTAATAGTAATCGATGTGCGAGCGACCAGAGGGAGAATCGCTTCGCGAAAACGAATCGAGAGCAAATCAAATTCACGAGTGACACAAGTTTCGCGCGGATGGGAGCGGGCAATCGATGTAAACGTATAGTCGTGCGAATCGAACAACGTTGAAACAAGCTAAACCCATCACTGTACAAGTGAAATTACGGGAAAGGTGTTCAATCGGTTGAAAATGTATTTAATCGCTTCATCATCGAGCTCGAAATTCACAATGCCTTCGGTGTGCAATTTCACACGCCGAGAATTTTATTTATAATTTATTATTTGTTACATGCACCGAAAGCTATTGAAAAAGATTCATCGTTTTCAATTTTCGCATAACGTGAAAATGCCACCCCATACTTTTCTTTTATTTCTTGCATTTCATATTCAGAATTTCTGCAGGATATTATACATTTTGGGAAATATTCTATCAATTATTATTGATATATCTATATCAAAATTCTGAAAATGAAGTTACCTTACAAAAGAAATTATTTTTAAATGTTAATTGCGTATGTAAAATAATTAAAGGATAACAGTAATAAAAGTTGAAGAAAAATAACCGTCTCTGAATTCGAGATCTCTCACTAACAGTAAACGAGAGATACCGGGTGCCGGTGACAAGTAATCTCTGTCTCTCTTTCTCTCTCTTTCCGGGAGATGCGGGGTGCATTACGTCACGTCCACCGGCTATCAGAACGCTTGCACGCAGTAAAAGGGGGAACAGGGGGATCTTATAAGCCGGGCGTGTACGTGCACCTGCTTTGTGCGCTAAACTAAAAATGACGTTCGGACGACGGTAACGCAGGGCAACCGGCTATTAAAGCGGAACTACTCGGCAAAGGCGAATCTCCCTGCTCGGAACGAAGTCGATACGACACGCGTATTTCTGTCGCGCATCATCAACCGACGTCTTTATCTTTGAATCAACGCACGCGCCATACTTTTCATGTTTCTGATAGATCTGGGGCCTTATTCTCGAAAAATATCGCGGACGAAAATATTCGGAAAATCTATAATAAATGTACTATGGCATTTTTCATACATTTTCGTATGCGATATTTTTCGGGAATACAGTCTCTGACCGTGCAGTCAGAGCAGAGTGCGTATGTATTGGTTGGAAAAATTACAGGATCTGCCTTCGAATCCACGTCCGAAATTAAAACTCGCGGTTCGTTCCGCCTGGTGGACAATTGTTCGGACAGAACATAATTCGCGTTGGATGAATTTTAGTGTAACGAATGCGTCGACAAGAGAATCTTTTCCGCCTTCGTTCCATATATCCCTTTTCGCTTTCTCTTTCTCTCTCTCTCTCTCTCTCTCTCTCTCTCTCTCTCTCTCTCTCTCTCTCTCTTTCTCTCCGTCCCCCAGTCCCTTCGTTCGTTTTCATGCTTTCCCCTCGGTATCGTCCCTTTCTATCCCGTCGCTTCCCAGCTCTTCGCGTCTCCGTCTCTTCGGGCGTCGCGTCGGCCGTTTTGTACTGGAACGTACGCGGGATCGATATCTCAGAGTCCTATATAAAATGTCTATAAAAGCGAAGTAGAAATATGCGCGAGGGAGACGACCGTGACAAACGCGCGGAAATGGGGAAAAAATAAATTAATTAAGGGCGACGCCGCTGCGCGTATCGGCGCTAGACGCCAGACCTATATCCGGTGTAGAGAGCCTCGGTGTGGAGAGAAAGCTACGGAACTTGGGAAGGAAAGAGCTGTCGTTGCCGTGGCAAACCATCGCCGCTATGTCCCCTGCGAAAGCGACTGAACTTCGTCATCGTAACCGATCGCTCAATATTATGGCAAAAACTCGTTTCTCATTGAATAACAAGACATCGAGTTGAAACATCTAAAATTAGATGTTTAGTTTAAAATTAGAATTCGGATTTCAACCGTTTCGAATGAATTTTTATCAACGTGTGTTGATTTCATAAAATTTTTTATAAAACTACGGAAAGAATGATGTTGCTCAAGTATCTAGAAAATTTAGCTAAGTACACTGAGAAAAAAGATATAGTATTGGTAACAAAAAAAGAAAATTGTTCACAAATGGCCGATTATCATCACTGAATTATTTTGTTAGATGAACAAAATTTTTTTATTTAACAATACAAATTTATTTAATTACTTACGTTTTGTAAATAACAATGTCAAATTTTATTATCACTACAAAATGAATATTCTTTTATTAATTTTAATAAAATAATCCACTATAGAACGTTTGGCGGAGCTGTCAGAGATGGCGTGTCTTCTCGTAAGAGAAATTCGACGTCTGCCTGTATAAAGCTGGGACGATTAGAGACTAATCTCGTGGACTTCTCGGCTCTCGCCACCATGACCAATCATGATAACAACCAGATTAGTAATCTCAATTGCTCTAAATCTATATATACTTTTGCTAAACTAAGGAAATTAAAAAACGCCAAACATAATTTCACTCTGTAGAAAGTGAGAAATATATATTATTCTTAGGCAATCGTTCTGTTCCGGTAACAAAATGTTCTATTTCTAACTACAAAAGACCTATAAACATCATACAAAACAGTTTTGTATCATTAAATTATTAGTTCATTTAGTAAATTCAATAAATTAATATTGTGGTAACCAACGATTGGATCGATCAACAAATACAATAGTTTTTGTGTCAGTAACAAAACTTTGGTTATTGATACAAAATATTTCTCTCAGAAATGTACAGATCTGAAAATAATTTTGTTGGACTATCAAAATAATTAAACGTAGGAATTTCAAGCATGATGAGGAACGCTGCAAAAACTTTTAACATTCTTGCAACTAGTTTAAGCGTCCTAATTATTTAAATGGTTCAACAAAATTATTTTCAGATCTGTATCTAGATAAACTTTTAGATACTTCAGCAAAACTGTTCTTTCCGTATAATCTAAAATGTCCGAAAGTTTATCTGTGATTTATAGAGACGTTAAATAAAATTTAATTAAAAATTACTATCGTTACACACACAATGCATTAATCATCTATGTTATATTAATTAAGATACGAAACGCGAATGTGTTGTGTGGCGTTCGTTTCTCAGCCTCTGACTGTATAAGATTCATAATCATCATTCTCCAATGTAGACCTTCAGTTAACGTGATTCGCCATTCGAGCCTCTAAAAATTGTCGAGTTTATAACGCGTTTTACTATTCTAAAAATTACCGCCCGGCGGCGGACATGTGCCCTTCATTATACACCTCGATATACCCTTCCCTCACTCCAACTTTCTCTAAAACCGTCTTGCCAGTCAGCGTCTGCGTCTCGTCTAACTGCACAAAGAAAGAAAGACAGAGAGGGAGAGGGAAGGAAAGAGACGCGAACCGTGCAGCTCGCACGGGCGGCCATCTTTCCTCACGCTTGGAAAAGAAGAACGACGGACTCGCCTGACGGAGTAACCAGCAGCGTGGAGTTCACGCACACCAACGCACAGCGGTAACGCAACGCTCAACCCACACAGGCAAACTGACAAGCCGTTATACCTGGAGAGGATCAAACATACGTTCGAATCAAACACGCGTACGGCCAAAACTTAAAAATTACCGGGCCATATGCTCGCAAGAAATGTCCTCGCAAAAAAAAACAACCGCACCAAGAAAAAAATCTGATTGAAAATGGACGAATCTCTCAGGAAGATCTGATTACATCAATCAGAATTCTAGTAGATTTAACTAGTTTCCGATTCGTTCATTTTCAACTAACGTTTCAATTATTAATCCACAACTAGACATTTTTCTCAGTGCGTCTTTAATTTTTTGAAGAAACCTCGCAGATAATTAAATATTGTTTCAAGATATATTAGCGCGATGGTTTTAATCTCCCTGTAATTTAGTGAAGATGTTTCGTATTCCGTCGTGATGCTCGTTGTAACTCGAAACATTGAGAAATATTGCTTGCGGTAATTATAGCGACGTATTAACGTGACTTTTCAGAGTAAACGGAAAGTATGACGTCCCATTAACTCGACATCGCGGTCATTCCAGGCTACGTACTTTAATAAGCAAGACGGATACCGGCAAATATCGTTAACGTGAATACGAAATGCCGCTAGAAGAAGAATGACGTTATTAACGGCGTGTCTCGCCGAAGCTCGTGGATACATTGACTACGTTTACACCGTGCATTTAGGCCGCGGCCTATACAATAGATGTTCTTGTTTATCCTGTATATTAAACAAAGACACCTATCGTATAGGTCGCGGACTAAGCGCACGGTGTAAACGTAGCCATTCAGCCTTGGACATTTTCATACGTTAGACCGCGCGCGCGAGCTGCAATTAAATTACGGTAATTGCAAACTTTCTCGTTGACGCGTACACGTCACGCGTGTATTGCACGCACGCACGCACGCACGCACGCACGCACGCACGCACGCACGCACGCTGCGCCCCCGACGACGTTGCGGTAATTAATGCTACAACAGACCGATGGTCCTCAAGAAACGCAGGTGCATCCGCCACGATCAACGGTTAATTTCGCCTCCCGCGTTTGTGTTTACCGAGATCCAAAGGCGGGAAGAGCAGGTTCAGTATCATTACGTATAAGTCTTCATTTCTTATTAAAAAAACAAGTTCGAGCCGTGACACCGTGAATCAAAAATAATTTTTGGAGGATGTTAACGTAGGAGTGACAGGATAAGTGAAGGCGATTTAGAATATAATGCCGTAAGAATTAAATTCGACAATGATGCGTAAGCGATATATTTGTGATATGTTATTTGTGTAAATTAACTTTTTCTACCTAGAGATAAATAGAATGACCGACCTGAATGATTTCAACCGAAGGTTGAAAAGTCCGGTTTTGTTATTGTTAAAGAATACAAAACTATGTAACTACACTGAGAAAAAAATAATAAATTCAAATAAATATTTATTTAAATACTGCCAACTAAATTTACAATAAATAAATATTTATTTAATAAAAAGAAATGATTGTTAAACCAAATTAATGTATTTTGCACTAAATAAATATATTTTTGTATTCAATAAATATTTAGTTGATACTACATTCAAATAAATATTTATTGAAATTTAGAATATTTTTTTCTCAGTGTAGTGTTTTCGCTAATAAACTTTGCGTTGGCTCACATGCTTTGTCTTATTGTTAAAAATAATTTTTCTCTAACGTGGTTACGATGGCAACGGTCATAACAGTGTCGTACAGTAAGGCAAACTTTATCGTCTTGCAAATATTTTTTATTTTCCCCGTTCCCGCGCGTCCCAAATCCACGACGTTATTTTTCACGTCTGGTACTTTATGTGGATTCAACTTAAACTTCGAAATTCCAAAGTTCAACTAAATCTGATCGTGAGGCTAAGTTTATACCCATCGATCTTGCATTAACAATGCGGGAAGAAGAAATGGAACGTTGGTAAAAGGATTTCGTTAAGACTTACAAACGCGATTCACGCATCCTTTCCACATCCCTTTCCTTCTTTCGGTATTTTCCTTTGGTCGCCCACGTTTAGTTCGATTCAACGACGGAACGTGAAACTTGGCGACTGTTTCCAAACTATTATGGATTAACCGCATTTCGGTCACGCCACCAACGGCACACGAGCCAGCGAGAGGGAAAAGAAAGAAGGAAGAAAAATGAAAGATAAAAAAAAATGACTCACCGGTAATGACGTCAGCCGTGGAAAGCGAACCGGATCTGAAGTTTTCCCGCGGCAGACGGCGGTCGATCCACCGGCGCGGCGATTCGATTCACCGGCCTGGCCTGGCCGGGCGGGGACGACGTCGACGACGATTCTTCTTCCGTGTAGCAATTACGAGGCACACACGCGCGCTCGTACACATATGGTACACACACACGCGGGGCGGCGCGTATCCTATTTAGAAAATTCGATCGGCCGATCGATCCGTGAAATCCGCGACGCCGCTTCGTCACTCCACAGCATACTTGGTGCCGGCGAGCGTGCGCGCGCGCGCGCTCGCTCGCGGAGAAAAGTCGTCTTGTTTCCTATCTCCTTTCCTCACCTCCGTGGCCACTTGTTCCTCTCCTCTCGTTTCCACGCTCACGTTCCGTGCTCCGTTTACTCCACCCTACGTTACGCCGTCTTCCTCTTTTTCTTCTTCTTCCCGCTTTCCGCCTGTCGCCGCACTGCACCGCGCGCACTGTCTCCACGTGCACTGTCACGCGGCACCGCACACACGCGTGGACACTGCCCGTAGAATCGCCAAAACTCACGTCTCTTCCTCTTCTTTCGCCGCCTCTTCTTCGTGTCGCCGCTTCCGCTGCGATCTCTGCGGGAAGGACGAGGTCATGGGAAACTTGCGAGTTAATCGCCGCCGAGAACGTAGACGACGTCGCTACTCGACGCTACTCGCAGGGAGAACGCACGCGACTCACGCGGCCGCGAACGCGCACGCGCCCGCGGTAAAGTGCGGATAACAGAGGGGTGCAACTATCGCGATGTGACGCGACGCGACGCAACGTGACCGATTCGAAAAGCTGAGAAATCGTATTTCGTGTTTATTTGCCTACGATACACTTCGAGACATCTGCCTCGACTATTTTAAGAAATTCACACTTACAAGGTTATTTACCTAATCATGTGCATTTGTCATTCGGATATCATTCTTACATTTCGTTGTGTCCGAGTTTCGTAGCGTAATCGTCCGTTGTTTATGTTATTACATCACGGTTTATTTTTATCTAAATAAATTTGTAAGTCGAGAGAGTAAATTTGGACGCTGGCCACGGATGCCAAACAACTCTAATTACGAAGGGTGTGTTTCCTAGGTTAGTACACCTCGATTACGCAATCCGAGTATTTCGAATCGCGCCACGTTTATCGTCGGCTTCGTTTTACGGATGAAACGGACGAAGTAACCGCGACACGCGTTGTTTAATCGAAGAGCGTTGCACCGACCGACAGTCGCACATACGCGTCATTATACATATAGAAGACACACGCGCGACACGTGTTCCGTCACGAATTGAAGACGTAAGTATACGATCCGCGCGCGTTATTAATATCAAATTATATGCCGATGTAAGTCTCAAGAAATGAATCCTCCGATACAAAACGTAACAGATTTTCAATCTAGATTTTAAATATATAAATTTGAGCGATTTAAAAATATTGGAAAAATATTGGCGTATGTCAGTAATTGCAAATTTTCCACGTTTCATACAGATGTTGCGACATTACATCGAAATCGCTATAAAAATGAAGTTCAAATTACGCTCCGATAGGCATTTTTACGTCGTATTGCGCATTTCCGACCTTTTGTTTCGGTCGAATACACGTTCGTTTCTACCGATGTAGATTAATTGTTAATCTCAGTTTAATTTACTTTTTATCTTTTTCTAGTTCTAAGAATTAGAAAAAATGGATATTAAAAAAAAATGAAGGATCGATTAAACGAAAATTAAAATGAAACTACATTGGTAGAGAGAAACAGGCATTAGTTACGCGCGAGAGACGCGCCGTCGCCTTCGAGCAGCCAGTCGTTTTAACCGACTGACCCTATCGACGGCGAGCGATTAGACTGAAGCGTAGTGCTCGACTTCCGGTTCAGCTGTTCGCACAAAGATCCGCATGTTTCTCCGACCCGCGTGCCTCGCGCCACAGTGTTTTGTTGCCCGTCGTTTGTTTCCGCTCGGTATGCTCCGTCCTACTCTCAGTTATCCCCACTTTCTCTCTCTCTCTCTCTCTCTCCCTTCCTCTCTTTCTCTCTTTCTCCTACCCTATCGCTCGCCCCACCTCGTTCCCCCGTTGGCGCTCAGAAGGTAGGCGCACCTCGTGCGCCCGAGAATTTCCTCATTGACCCGCGCGCTCCGTATTCCACCTGCGACTCGTCATCACCGTTATTAATATCGTTCCCCGTTGCCGCCGCGCGGACCTCGTTATCGTTCCCACGGCGGGAATCGCGCTACCGTCGTCACCTCCGTTTTCATCGCCATCGTAGACGGTCGCACAACCCTCCTCTCCTTCCGACAAAATTGGGCAAGGTGCAGCCGAATTAACGATCGGTAGATTTATCGAACAATTGCGTATTAACGATTAATGATTAATGATTTAAGTAATTTGCAATCGTGATTAACAAGCAACTACGGCTTAAATAATCACTAATTATGACTTTTTAAGTAGGGAACGCGCGAGTACATCCGTAATTACAATTGGATCGACAGGTTGACGTGACATTTAAAAAATAACGAGGCTACTCGATAGACTAGTGCGATATTCTGCGTTTGGTAACTAATAGGAAATTATGATTAAAGAATTTTACGTCAATCGCATCGCAGACAAGTTAAACACGACTGTCAATTCGTATGTTTCACACGATAATAACAATTTCAATAAATTCGTTCCGATTACACGTAAAGATATTCTCTCAAACGTTCTATTTTATAATGACATATTATACGATATTTTGCATACCGCTCTCTGTTTGACGTTTATTTTATATATTTCATTCACGAACGAGAGAAAAGGGAAAGAAAAAAAGAGAAACTGGAAAATCCCGAAAAACATTCGCGAAAGGGTTGGAAAAAAAGTCCAAGGAGGACAACGCTCTCTCGATCTCGTGCGACGAGATCACACACAACGAATGGTCCCTTCTCCTTTCTCCCTCTTTTACGCGGTCGGACACGACTCTCCCGATACCCTTCGCGTGCCACCGCCTCCTCGTTTGTTTCTTCTCGTCGTCGTTCCCATCCGACACGTCGAGTGCCGACCCCAGTGCCCGAGAATTCTCCTCTTTCGACAGCAACGGTGACCGGAGCGCTTCTCCTGTGAAACAAAATACATCTCTCATTAAAATTATATATATTTCAACGATGCCAATCAACCAGTGATTAACGGCGATTAATTATTTCAGGAAATGAAATCGCTATGATATCAATGCGTTTGAATTTAAATTTTTACTCCAGAATCCGTAAAATTATTCCGATTTCAAATCCTCGACATTTTCTTTTTCTAAAATCATTACGCAGAAATGTAGTCGCAAATTAGAATTAATCGTACGGGGTGAATAAGAGAAAATAAAAATAAATTGCTTGAAAATAAAAATAAATGCGTCTAGCGTCTGGACACCATGGTGTACACGTATAAACGAGTGAAAAGGAAATTTAAAAGAATTCGCTTAGTTAATTACGAGTAGTATTAGAATGATGCTTTCATTGACTATTCGGTTTCCACTTCTTTTTCTCGGATACTAGTAGAAACTAATTACGTTACAGACTCGGCAGTGAGCACGATAGGAGGTCACGCGATAACGAACGAAACACTTGTAACTTCACAGAATATTCTATGTTTCGGTCTCTCTCTATTTTCCGCGTAATCGACGGCAATTACGTTCCGTGTATTTCCATGTATTCTAACCATAAATGAGGATGAATTAACACGCAAATGAGTGATCGAACGTAAACCGGTATAGTGAAAAAAAAACAAAAATGCGCGTTGTTAGCATCGATTTGGTACGTCATTTATCATTATCTGTGAGGTTGATAGAGGACTGAAAACACCAGATGTGTGGTAGAAAGAAATTACGGTTGCATCAAGTTTAGGATAAGTGTTCAATAATAACTGGTTATTGACCCGCTATTATGCACGGTTTATAAATTCAATTCTATAATGTATAGAAGAACCATAATGTAAGGTACATGTAGATAAGTTAAGTTATAGAAACGATGAATGTATATCGAAATATAATATAATATTATTCGGACATATGTACTTGGCAGCCTTACATATTTTCTCAAAATTTTATATCCTTATCTATGCAATATAACTCATTTATCTAACAATATCTTTCATCTATACAATATAACTCATTACAGTATCTTTTATCTATGCAATATAACTCATTACAGTATCTTTTAGCTATACAATATAACTCATTACAGTATATTTTATCTATACAATATAATTCTGTAAATATCAATTCTAATATTATACCCAACGCTTCAAGTAAACTTTGAAAAATGAAAAGTTTTCATGAACACAGAAATTCTTACAATAAAGACATTGTTAACAGTGATTTTCGTTTAGAATTTCTCGCGTGAAAGTGCAAACTACCTTTACGATAAACAAAATTTGTAAACCTTGGTCGTCGATCAGTGCGCCGTAAGTCCGACGTAAAGAAACGTAATGTATTTCGCAGGAAATCCGCAGCAGCCGACGGAGATACGGCAATTACGGTCGGGATACGTGTACCAAGCACGCAATGGGGGCGATCGATCGTTCCTCGCGCAGTGGGAAATACTGCGGGAGAAAGCATCTGACACGCGTTTGCGAATTGCGCCGGTGCCGCGTCCAAGGAACCTGGGTCGATTCGCTGTATTGAATACGCAACAATAGCAAAAATGGCATCAGCTGTGCAGGACAGCCTAGCTTTCTTACGATCGATCTTTTTGTTATGCGGCTCAAAACAACGGTACTGGCGCCTGCAACCGTTGAAACTATTTTCAAACGTTCATTCAAAGATAGAAACTTCAAAGTTAAAACTTTACCACGTTAAGAAGGAAGTTCGAAAGAAATTCAATTATGATCAAAATAAAATTTTAATTCAAGCTTAATTCAAGCTTGGAATAATAAGCTTGAAATAATAATCATCGTCGTTCACAGTTGCTCTCATTTGATTCAAACAACGGTACTTTAGGTAACACTTTCAATTTGCTTAAATATGTAAAAATTTAGCTAAATATAAATCTGAAAATAATTTTGTTAGACCATC